AAGGAAGGAAGGAAGGAAGGAAGGAAGGAAGGAAGGAAGGAAGGAAGAAAAAGAGAGAGAGGAAAAAAGAGAGAAAGAAAGAAAGAGAGAAAGAAAGAAAAAGAAAGCAGAAGAGAAAGAAAAAAGAAAGAGAGAGAAAGAAAGAGAGAGAGGAAAAAAGAGAGAAAGAAAGAGAGAAAGAAAGAAAAAGAAAAGAAAGAAGAGAAAGAAAAAAGAAAGAAAGAAAGAGAAAAAGAAAAAGAAAGAAAAACTCCCCTTCCTGACTGTTGTATCCAACACTTACCCTTGTTCAAAGAAATGAAAATATAATTAGCTGGGCATGGTGGCACACACCTTTAATCACAACACTTTAGAGGCAGAGGCTAGTGGACCTCTAAGTTTAAGGCCAGCCTGGTCTAAATAGCAAGTTACAGGACAGCTAGAGCTACATTATAGCACCCACGTCTTTCCCACCACCCCTGTCCCCAGAAAAAGAACCATAATTAGTAAAACCTATGGCAATCGGTCCACTCAAATGTAGCCATCTAAGAATAACACTGAGGGTCACTAAGACACTTACGTCAGGTTGAACTTGAAGTTGAACTGCCACGTGTTGATTCCAGAAGGGTACTCCCCCTTCTCATTTGTGAATGTAAGGCCCAGCTGGATGATTTTTAGAAGGTCAACATTGCACCGCAAAAGCTGATACTGGTAATCTATGGAGCTTCGAAATTCACCAATTGGTCGTACCACAACACCTGGAAACTCTGTGTCCTAGGAAAAAAAGCCTCCCACCATTAAGTCTCCTCAAACAGTGGGTACTGGACTAGCAACTCCTGAGCAAAAAACTGTTTCAGTTTACAGAAGCCCCAAGATAGGCTCCCAAGGTCTGGAAAACAGGACACACACAGGTGCCTGGGTAACTAGAGGGAGATGTGACGTCAGGTAGGAACTCCTTTTTTTCTTTTAACTCATTTTTATTTCATGTGCATTTGTGTTTTGCCTGCATGTATGTCTGTGTGAGGGTATCAGGTCCCCTGAAAGTGAAGTTACAGACAGTTATGAGCTGTCATGTGGGTGCTGGGACTTGAACCCAGGTCCTTTGGAAGAGCAGCCAGCACTTATAACTACTCCAGTCGCTAGGAAAGAACTTTTTGTTTGTTTGTTTGTTTGTTTTAATCATGCAAATTTTATCGTGGCCCCATACAGGCTTGTCAGGCATTTTTCTCCAAGAGCCTCCTGAAATGGGAGGGCTGGGTTGTGGGACTCCTGGATGGCTCCCACACCCCATTATTACATTTAGACTCAGTTCCACCTGAGTCGACACCCCTGCACCCGAGCACAGCTGGTAGATCTCCTCCCTTGGATACAGGGATGCCAAGGTGAGCTCCTCATTTCTTGGATGCAGACTTAGGAAGGAACTTCTGATATGAGTTAAATACAAATACAGTCAAGTTAGATGTGGTGACCCCCAGGATCTTTGCTCCTTCACACTAGCTTCCTGGTATTCTTGACACTTAAGATAGCAGCATGGCTGATGGCCTGCTATTCAGAACCCTCATCTTGGTCCACTAAGAACAAATACAGCTTTCTTTTCCTTGAGTGACTATCTCACTGCCCTGTGTATATAAGATTTTTTTCACCCCTGTGAAGCCCAGACTGGCCTGAACTCACAGGTCTTGAACTCCTGATCTCTACTCCACGGGATCTTAGCCTTCTGGGAGAGCTTGTGAGTCTAGTGCCTCCTGCAGAGCTGTGAAAGCAGGGTTTGAAGAGAGACAGTGGTGAGCAGCAAGCCTACAGTGGAACAGAGCACCTGCTTGCTCAGGGCCTGGTCCAAGGCAAGCTCACCTTACCTGATGTCAGGCAGGAAAAGGAGCCACATACTATCAGATCTTCCCACTTTACCCAGAGGTGCCAAATCTGGAAATTGGCATCTCCTACCTTTTCAGTGCTAGCATCAAAATGTTTTAGTATTTTGAAAACAGACGTCAGGCATGTTGGTACATGCCTATAATCTTAGATGGTGACAGGAGGATCACAAAGTCAAGCAGTTCTCTTAATTCATAGCAAGTTCAAGATGAGCCTATGGTACATGAAACCATGTCTCCAAATTTAATTAAAAAAAAAAAAAATACTGCATGCTCAAATTCACATTTGTGAAGAGACACCTATGGGGCTGAGGCGAGTCAGATGCTAGAGCACTTGTCCAGCACGATACACACTGGGCAAAATGGTGCACCCTATAACCTCAGCACTAAGAAGACAGAAAAGAGAGGATCAGCAGAAGGTCTGCCTGAGCTACCCAGCAAGTGCTGGGCCTACCCAGGCCTTTCATATCCAGATCCTACTTAAATAAACAAAAATAAAAGCACAAAAGACTAGCCTGGGTTGGTGGCTTACATCTTTAATCCCAGCACACAAGTAGGCAGAAGCAAGGGGATCTATGTGAGTTCAAGGCTAGCCTGGTCTACAAAGGAGTCCAGAGGCAGCTAGAGAAACCCTGTCTCAAAAAAAAAAAAAAAAAAGACTTTCAAACAGAGCAACATTACAAGAGCTTTGTATCAGAGGCTATGCCCTCCTCAGAGACACTGGCTATCTCAGCTCACAAAAGCAATGCAGGTTTCCAGTCTAACCTTCCCTGGCTGTGATGGGGAGGGCCTACTCACCATGGCGATGTAGCTGTAGCTGAGGACAATCTCTCGGATCTTCCGCATCTCTTCCTCAAGATTGCTGGCCCACACCTCACAGATGACCTGACTGTTTTCCACAAGTGCCGCAGGCATCCTGAAGGCACCTGAGGAGCCACTGTGAGTTAACTATGAGAGAACAAGCCTCCTCCTGTTTTGATTTGATGGTCCACACTGGGTCCAACCTAGATTTGAAGACATTTTGAAATCATATTAAGTTTACACTGCGATATGTCAACAAAACACATGAAAATTGTATTTTAACCAGATACAGTGACTCAGACGTGATTTTAACATTCAGGAGGCCAAAGCAAAAGGATGAAGAGTTTAAGACACCAGCCTGGACTACATAATGAGTCCATTCAAGGTCAACCACGGCTACACAGCAAGACCCTGTCTCAAAACAAAAACACAAACCAGAGTTTTACCATAACTTCATTAACGCAGTCAGTGCATTCAGCAGCCACTACCTATGGAGTGTTTACACTTGCCTTTGTCAATTTTGTTCTCTCTCAATACAAAGAAAAACCCTACCTGCTGACTGACCTACCTGAACCCTTAACAATGACATTAAAAATCGGAAGTTAGGCTGGACAGTTGGTACACACCTTTAATCCCAGCACTCAACAGGCAGGAGGATCTGAGGCCAGCCTGGTTCACAGAGCAAGTTTCAGGACAGCCAGGGCTTCAGAGAGAAATCCTGTCTCAAAATTCAAAAAAAAAAAAAAAAAAAAAAAAAAAAAAGGAAGTGGCATAGGGTATTGTATCTGTACTTTTTAGGTTTATTTTTGCAGTACACAAAAGTCAGAAGAAGGCATCTGATTCCCTCAAGCTCTACTTAAAGATGGTTGTGAACTAACACATGGGTGCTGGGAACAAAACCTGGATTTTCTCCAAGAGCAGAAAATACTGTTGACTGCTGAGCCATCTCTGCAGCCCTGTGATGTCTACTTTTAAACACATAATAAAGAAGGTAAGCAGTAACTCCACAATAAGAACGATGGTAGCGGGACTGGAGAAACGGCTCAGTGGTAAAGAGCACTGGTTGCTCTGAGGGGATTCAGGCTCAGTTCCTAGTCCCCAAATGGTGGATTACATCTATCCAGAATTCCAGTTCCAGGTCTGACACCCTCTCCTGGCCTCCACAAGCACTAGACAGACGCACAGAACAGACATTCTGCAGGCAAAACATTCATATTCATGAAGTAAAATAACAGAAGGAAGACAAACAGAAGCTGGACAATAAAAATAAGCCAAGCAGGAACAGAACAGCTGATGGTGTGTATCATAGGAGGACATGGTCAGCTGGGTCAAAGTCAACACCACCCAAGCTCAGAATAACACTGCCACTACAGCAAACCAACACAAAAAGCGCCATTATTATTAGAAGAACAGAAAGGCTTCTGGTAGAGCTCATGCTTAACAACCTCAGGCTTGATCCTGGACACCATGCACACAAACGCACATGCACACGCACACACATGCAGGCAAGTAGGCGCCACAAGGAGTTCTGGTATTATCTTAGGACAGCAAACACAAGTTAGAGGCCACTGGAACAATACAGGGAAACCCTGGAGGGAGGGGTGCATAACGGAATACGGGTTTCCTTCCTTATAAGGCAAACCCACTGTATAGATCCTCAACACAACATGAAACAGCGGGGTCCAGGGTACGTGGGCAAAGAGTTTCAGTAATAGTAACATGAGGGTTTCCAAAGACCAAAGCACAGGCAATCCTTATTTTTCCATTTTTAGAACTGACAGAAACAAGAGAGTAATGGCTCATGCCTCAGGAGGCCAGCCTGTGCTAAGACTTAGGAAGTTCCAGACCAGCCTTGGCTCTGGACCCTGTCATTCACGGACAAATGGACAAAGGATCCTTCCTAGACATACAATGTACATTTAACTGAGCAAGTGAATTTGCTGGGCAGGCTGGCCACAGGGGAGAAACAAAACAGCAATCCAACACAGGTCAAGAGCCTCCACTTTCTACCCAGGAATCCAGGCTCCAAGAAGCAGCACAGACTTCTCTTTTTCAGCTTCTCTCCCACATCTCACAAAGCAGAATGAGTCTGTGTTCACAAGTCCAGTAATTAATGTAACATAGTCCCTAAAGTAACCTCACTAAAGTTACAACCAGAAGAACAATAATGATTTTCACAACTCAAAGAAAACCAGACATACTCAGTTAGATATACTCAGAAATAAGAGAGGGATCCCACAGTCAGGAGACTGAGAAAGGATTACCAGAAATTTGAGGCCAGCCAGGACTACAGTTGGAGACCCTACTTTTATTTTATTATTCTGTTTTGTCTTTTGAGAAAGGCCTTTCTATTTACTCTGGTTGTGCCAGAACTCACTATGTGAACCAAGCTGGCCTTGAACTCAAGAGATCTGCCTGCCTCAGCCTCCAAGCACTGGGATTAAAGACATGCGCCACCACAACCAGCTGAGGCCATGTTTTTAAAAGAAAAGAAAACAAACAAAACAGACCCCGAGAGCCAGCTTGGTGGTAAAGGCACTTACTGCCAAGCCTAACAGCGTAAGTCTGAGCTCCAGACTCACTTGCTGGAAGAAAAGAACCTAGCCCCCAAGAACAACATGGCACATGTATACACACAATAACAACAACAATAACAATAATAATAATAGCAGCTAATAATAATAATAATAATAATAATAATAATAATAGCAGCTTCAGGAAGAATGGCTTAGCAGTTAAGAGCACTTGCTGAGGCCAGTTGGTGGTGGCCCACACCTTGAATGCTAGCACTCTGGAGGCAGAGGCAGGCAGATCTCTGCAAATTCGAGGCCAGCCTAGTCTACAGAGCAAGTTCCAGGACAGCCAAGGTTGCACAGAGAAACCCTGTCTCAAAGAAAAAATAAAAAATAAAAATAAATAAATAAATAAATAAATAAATAAATAAATAAGAGCAGTTGCTGCTCTTCCAGAAGAGCAGAGTTCAGTTTCCAGCACTCATGTGGGTTGGCTCACAAATGCCTGTAACTCCAGCTCCAGAGAATGTTGACACCTCTTCTCTGGCCTCCTTTGGACACAAGTGACATTAATTATAAATTAATTACTACATTAATAAAATTAACATCTAAAAAATTATTCTTCACAATTCTTTAGGAAGGTTCAGAGGTTGAAGCCACATTTTTCTTTAAAGGATTACTTTTATGAGTGTGTGAAGGGGGTTATTATGTGCATGTGAGTGCAGGGCTAGCAGAGGCCAGAAGCTGGAATTAGGCACTAGGTACCAACCCTGCCCTCCGCATGAGAATGCGCCTTTAACAGCTGAGTGAGCTCTCCAACCCCTTAAAGGAAATTTTTGATTCCATGCAATGTTTGCCTCACAGCCTCGCTTTAAAACTTGATACCCATACCCAGCTACATTTGAAACTTTAAAAAGGGAAAGGTGTCCACACACACACACACACAGCCCTGTATAGGCTGCAGAGCAATCCGTTCAGACCGCTCTTGATTATCCAAACTTCGGAGAACAGGCCCCCGTGCACCCAGGTGAGCTCTGAAGAGCGTAGTTCGAAAGCCAGAAGCACGCTCTCCTTACGAGCCGTGTAGACAGTTCAGCTGAGTGTCTCCTGCTGGTCTGGTTTTGTTTTCGCCAGAGCGTCTGAGAAACAATAAGCTTCACTTCCCTGTTCCTGAACACTAAACAAAGGCTTTGCCGTGCAAGACGGGCGCAAGAGGAAGCAGCGGCCCGTTAGAAGAAATGGCAACAGGTCCCCTCCAGAGCATTTCAGGCCACAGGCCTGAACTCAGACGGCGCCCCATCCAGCTTGCTGGCTACCCCAGGGGGGGCCCTGCCACGCAAAGCTGCAGCACCCCAAGATCCAAGCCGGGCGGCTTCCTGCCTCCCCCACCAGTCCTTAAGGCCTCCAGGCCGGGCTCCGGGGACCGCGAGAGCCACGGCCTCTGTGCCTCAGTGTTCCCGTGCGTAGGATGGGTCGCCACGGAGGCACTTCCGCCCCATGCTCCTACCCTGGGCGATGCAACCCGCTTACCCTGGCTGGCGGCCCCGCTGAGCGCGGGCTGGCGGCCGAGTCCGGGCGGCAGCGGCCCTTGACCCGGAGCTCTCCTCTCTCTTGCTCCGGATCCGCTCCTGGAACCCAGAGAGCCAGTGAGACGCGAACCCCGGCGCCCAGAGTGGCCTACGACGTGCACCAAACCAGAGGGCTGAGCCGCTCTACCCTTCGGCGCTCCGGACTCGCCTACTCTCTCGCGTCACTCCAGGCGGGCGCGGGCCCGTCCGTCCCGGCTCCGCCCCCAGCGCGCGCTCAGGCGATTACGTTCCGCCTCCCTGCGCAGGCGCAGAGCTAGGAAACTGAGCCCGTCGGAGGGCGCGTGCGCAAGACGAGGCGCTACTTGCGGCCTCGGGTGGCACGAGGTGTCTCAGACCCGGTCCGCCCCTAGTCCTTTACGAGCCCCGGTGGACTCTGGAGTCGCGCCTCCGGGAAAGAGGAAGTCTAGAGCTAGCGCCGCGGGCGTGGCCCCTCTGACCGAGTCCCCAGTCAAGACGCCCTTCCTCACCTTAGGGCGCATTACGACTATTGGTTGGAGGTGAGGGTGCAACGCACAAGGGGTGGCCGCCACCCGGACCCGCTCATTCACAGAGCATCGACCCACGGAACCCCTTCTGGGTGGCCACTGGCTGGGGATGGGGAAGCATGGCCAAACCAAGGCTTGAATGAGGTCAGCTCACGTGAATGAGCGCAACCTCCCAGGACCTGGCCCGAGCGTTGCCATGGTAACCAGATGGCCTTGGGCAGCGCTGCTCCCCGGCCTGAGCCACACTGAGGTCAGAGAGCGGGGCCACCACGAGTCCGGGAGACAATCAGAACACTCCACCCAGTGTCCCTCTGGGAACAGGGCTCGGCTGGCAGCGAGGCCATGCTGGGATACACTGTCACCTCGTGCTCTTCCACGAGACCTGAAGACTGAGGCCTCGCTGGAGCTCCTCCCCCCTCCCGGGGAGGAAGTGAGGAGCCCAGTAAGGCGCCAGCGGGTGTCCCCACTCCTGACATCCCATCTCCCAGTCACTGTGCCCTTTTCATTTTAAACTTTTATTCCTTAACAGATTCCAAACCACCCGGGCGTGGTGGGACACACCTTTAATCCCAGCACGCAGGGAGGCAGAGGCAGGCTGATCTACAAAGGGCGTCCAGGACAGCCAAAGTACACAGTAAAACCCTGTCTCGAAAAACTGAAAACAAAAAAAAAAAAAAAAAAAAAAAAAACATTTCAAGATAGGACTTCCTGGATAAACAAAAGCTGGCCTTTCAAACTATTCTCCAGAGAAATGAAAAGTCCCACAGCCAGCCTCTGGGGTAGAAATTTCAAGAGCAGTTTCTGAACCCGAGCCTTTGCTTCTCTCCAGATCTGTAAATAGACACGAGGGACTGTGTCTCAAGATTGTGATGGGCATGAAACCCTAGAGAGAATAACAACGGCCACCACGGAGAAAGAGGCCCGTGCAGTTAGTAATTGTATCTGCCATGGATTCTCCCTGCAACGATGTTGACGACATTTGTGGCATGGCTGGTCTAGGCTAGCTATACACACTGCCTTCCCTCAAGTCTGTTCAGTGAGGTCCGTGCTGTTTACCTGCTTATAACTGGATACAGCAGAACGTGGACCTATCATGTGCTAGTCATGTGAGGAGCAGCCTTTGAAATTTTTGGAATTTTGTTTTCTTGCCACCAATGGGCTCTGAAGGAGTTGAACAGGAAACACCTGGTTCCCCCCACACACACACACCCTTCACCTAGAGTTTTTTACAGAACACCAGTTCTATTTCAGGAGGCAATACAGTGGAGTGTCTACACTTAATTGAACATTAGCTTTCGATGCCTGTGAGTTCAAGGCCAGCCTGGTTTACAGAGTGAGCTCCAGGATAGTCAAGACTATTAAAAAGGGGCTGGAGAGATGGCTCAGAGGTTAAGAGCACTGGCTGTTCTTCCAAATGTCCTGAGTTCAATTCCCAGCAACCACATGGTGGCTCACAACCATCTATAATGAGATCTAGTACAGGCAGAACACTGTGTATGTAATAAGTAAAATAAATCTTGAAAAAAAAAAAAAGACTATTAAAAAATTAAAAGGGAAAAAAAAGAATCCCCATCTCAGAAACCAAATAAATAAATAAACAATAGCTTTCAAACTGCAACGAGAGAAAATAAAGTTTGAACAAAGTTCTTCAACTGGAAAAGCATAGTTTTGAAAATACAGAAGAACAGTGGTTAGAGCATAAATCTTTTGAAGAGCAGGATAATAAAGCAAGCAGGGGTGGTAGCGCATGCCTGTAGTCCCCGCACTCAGGAAGTCAGAGGCAGGGGGATCTCTGTGAGTTCTAGGCCAGCCTGATCTATAAAGCAAGTCCAGGACAGCCAAGACTACACAAAGAAACCCTGTCTCAAAAAAAAAAAAAAAAAAAAAAGGAAAATTAAAAGCAGTTTAGAATCCTGGCACCTTGCCTTTACTTCACATCCGTCTCTTCTGGCTTAGACTTGTGTCAAGTCTCTGTGTAAGTGACACAGACATAAAATTGAAGGCGCGTCCGCCCCAAGCAGAGACCAAACAGACCATAGCTCGCCAAACCTGCCTCATTATGCAGACCTGGTCCTCTGTTTAAACCTGAAGCTCATGTCAGTGCTCTCAGAGATGGGAGACATTTTTACCTCCCGCATCCCCAAAATGGCTGCTTTTAAGCCCCTTTTTGCCTCTAGATACACGTATGTTTCATTCTAAGTATTTGAACATTTTAATTGCAGCCTAAAAGCGGAGTGGGGGGGGGCTACTGTGTAATGACTTCATGTTTTTGTGTAGTGATGGTGGGGGCTTGAACCCAGGGCCTCACCAGCAAACACTTTGTTCCTGGGTCCTGGCCACCACCTCTTGTTCACTCCTGGTAACCTGTATTAAATCTGTTCTGTTTGTATTAGATTTTCCTTTTCCCTCAGAATTTATTAATGTAACATTTCAAATCTCCTAATACTAATCAGGGACTTTAAACTTAAAAAAAAAAAAAATAGGCTAGATGTAGTGATGCAAACCTGTAATCTCAGCACTCAAGAGGCAGAGGCAAAAGAATTGCCACGTGTTCAAGGTCAGTTCCGAACAATGCATCACCTGATTTCATAGAAAGGAATACATGGGGCTGGAGAGATGGCTCAGAGGTTAAGAGCACTGTCTGTTCTTCCCAAAGGTCCTGAGTTCAATTCCCAGCAACCACATGGTGGCTCACAACCATCTATAATGTGATCTGATGCCCTCTTCTGGTGTGTAGGCACTCACATAGGCAGAATATTTAATAAATAAAAATTTAAAAAAAAAAAAAAAGGAATACGTGGCTTGATTAAGGTGTTGGCACATGCCTGTGATCATAGCACTCAGGGAGGCAGAGGCAAGCAGATTGATAAGAGTTCCAGGTGAGCCTGGTCTAAGTGAGTCCAGGACAGCCAACTCTACACAGAGAAAACCCTGTCTACTACAAACAAACAAAGACTCCTGACCCAAGAAGGACTCATCCAGGAGGCTCTGTCTGTGGAACCATTGCTATGATCATGGAATAATGTTGACACTGTTGAATGGAACAGATAACTGACGAACAAGGGAACAAGCATTCAAGTATGAAATTGGCAGTGTGGCACACACTTTAATGTCAATACTTGGGAGACAGGGGCAGAAGGATCTCTGTGAGTTTGCAGCCAGTTTGGTCTATATAGCAAGTCGTAGGCTAGCCAGAGCTACATAGTGAGAGCCTGACTCAAAAGAAAAGAAAGAAATACCAGCTAGTGTGGTGGTACTCCAAAGTTCAAGGCCATCTTTGCCCATATACTGAGTTCTAGGCCAGTCTGGGCTACATGAGACTTTGTTTCAAAACTTTGTAAAAGCATGATTAATTTTAATAACTATCGTGAAAGAATATCCTGGGGTGAGAGTGGCAAGTCTCACAGGCAGGTCAGAACATCTCCCTGAGGAGGTGAAGTTTAAACAGAAAGGAGAGAAATGAGAAGTTGGGCAAGGACAAGCAAGAGGCTAAGGAGGCAATGAATGGCCAGATAGCTGCAAAGAGGTGAACCAGGAGGCTGTAGTGGTGCCTGGCAAGGAAAGGAGGCCTGAGAGACTGTTCCAGTGTACTGGGAAACCCTGGTCTCTCACAGCACAGGCTTCAAACTTGAACTCCCGATCCTCCTGCCTCCGTGCTGGGATTACAGATGTGCACCACCACCGCCAGCTTTTTTTTTTTTTTTTTTTAAGACATTGATTTCTACAGATGAAAAGACAGAAACAATTTGAATTCTACTAAATTTGATCTAAAAAGGTAGCTGGTTTCTCCGAGAAGGTGATAGCTGAGCTATGCCTTGCAGGTGACTGACTGAGAGTTAAGGCCACTGTGGAAATGTTCACACTGCTAAGAGAACACAGCATAGAGAGGAAAGTTGGTCTCGGCCTACACAGACAACGGAAATACAGGCCAATGGAAAGAATGGCTAAGAGGTAAACCCACTGACCTCCTGTCACCTCCGAAACTGTCCTTGCCCTCTGTGCACACAGGCTCCAATATTGTAACCAAATCTAAAAACAAAAAACGGCCTCATATTTTTTAATAATTTACTTAATGTTATTTTATGTGCATTAGTGTGAAGGTGTCAGATTCCTTGGAACTGGAGTTACAGTTGTGAGCTGCCATTTGAGCTGGGATTTGAGCCTGGGTCCTCTGGAAAAGCAGACAGTGCTCTTAACCACTGAGTCGTGTCTCTAACTGCCCCCCCCCCTTCTATTTTTAAAAGATTTTTTTTTTAGTTATGTGTATTTGTGTGTGTGTTTCTGTGGATGCAGGGACCTATAGAGGCCAGGGGTATTGCATCTCCTGTAGCTAGAGTTCCAGAGGATTGTGAGCTGCTAGACAGGGGCACTGGGGCCTGTGGAACAACAGCATGGGTTTTTCACCACTCAGGGTTAAGAGCCCAGCTCCTGACTTATTTTTAAATGAGCAGCATTCAGAACCTTTCTTTTGGGGCTGGAGAGATGGCTCAGTGGTTAAGAGCACTGGCTGCTCTTCCAGAGGTCCTGAGTTCAATTCCCAGCAACCACATGTTGGCTCACAACCATCTATAATGAGATCTGGTGCCCTCTTCTGGTGGACAGGTGTATGTGATGATAGAACACTCATATACATAAAATAAATAAATAAATCTTAAAATCTTTGGCAGAGTATAGTGGTGCACACCTATAATCCCAGCACTCTGGGAGGCAGAGGCAGGCAGATCTCTGTGAGTTTGAGGCCAGTCTGGTCTACAAAGTGAATCCAGGACAGCCAAGGCTACACAGAGAAACCCTGTCTCGAAAACAAAGCAAAACAACAACAAACAAAAACAAAAACAAAAAAAAAAAAGAACCTTTCTTTGCCCAAATGCAGATAAGGTATTTGAGGCATTGACCAATTACAAAAATATTTGACCATTAATGATATTAATACACACCGAAAATCTATTTAGAATGACTTACCATAAAGGTTTATATAACTTTATCCAAGGTAATCTATATGGTAACATTAATGGCTTAAGTCTTTGTGACAGTCAAAGCCTTAATTTTAAACATTACTTGATTTTTTAAGAAAACAATTACAACAATTTGACTCTTAAACAATGAAAAGAGAAATGTCAAAATAATTGGACAAAATACCAATCTTTTTATTTATCTTTGCTGCTTTGTACTCCCTGGATGGATGCTCACTAACACATTGTTTCCTGGATGAGAGGTCCATGGCTGCCCTATCCGTGTGTGTAAGGAGCTCAGCAACTGATAATGGATTCTGCCCCCAAGATGATTTCCACACTCTCCCTTAGCCATGACCCTCATAATGCGCTGTTTCGGGTTGTAAAATACACATAGTATAAGTACAGCCTGTGTCCTGATGTTGCTTTTAAAGGGTGTTTACTGTATTAATAAGGGCACTAACAACTTAGAACAGTCATGGCAAATATTGTATGTTTGAAATGCAAGGTTTAATAAAATTGTGTCAAATTTTAAAAAAATCCCTCCTTTGTACTGTGATAGTCTATAATGTTCTAGTAGCAGTGGACTCCAAAGGCTTCAGAATTCTGCAGAAGTTTCCAACCACGGAAAGAGCTAGAGGCATAAAAGATAGTGAGGACAGAAGAAGCGCCCTGAGTGGGAGGGGCTGTACAAGCAGAGGCGAGAGAAAACAGGAAGTCCCTGTACATCTCTGTAAGTGAACAGTGGAAATTTGCCCAGAGCAGTGACACTTGGCATGTGGGGAAGTGGGTAGTGAATCAGGAGAGGATGCAGAGTAAGTTTAAGTGATTCTGGAACTCAGGGCCTCTGGAATGGGGGGGGGGGGTAGACTGAACTACACCGTCAGCACCAGGACCCTGGACACCACCTGATGAGTGCACAAAATAGGGTCATCATGGAGTCATCTAAAGAAAATGTAGGGAAGTACACTGGCATCTCTCAAAAATGAGAAAAACCCTGAACAAGCTGTACCCAACCTGAAAGTTAATTTTTAAGCCAGTGTTGAATGTTTCACTGAGCCTTGACTTAATGCAACAAATTGGTCCAAGAAAAATGTGACCAAGACGACACCGTCTTTTATTAGCCAGATAGAGCGTGACACATCTGTACAGTAGCTTTGAGACAGTCTCATCGGGCGACCCTGACTGCCCTCCATGCTGTCTTCCTCCCTCTCCTGAATGCTGGGCCCACAAACAAGCACCCAGCAGACACAGCGTCTCTTCATGGAAACTCTACACAGTCAAATGTTAAGAAAGTGTAATCCCAGCACTAGGGAAGGAAGAAGCCAGATGACCAGGGTCAAGGTCAGCCTCCACAGATGGAGTTCCAGGCCTGCCAGGTTAACTGAGAACCTGTCTCAAAGAATAAGTTAAGTAGAGGCTGAAGAGGTGGCTTAGCTTTTTCTGGTTTTGCCAAGTTCAGTTCCCAACACCCCTAATCAGGCAGCTCATAATCTCCTGTAACTCCAGCTCTCCACATGCCCCTGGACCCACACATGTACATTCCCACAAACACACACACACATGTACACATAGTAAAAATATTTTTAAAACAGCATTAAAAAATAAAGAGCGGGGGAAATGTGCTCTGCTGGAGTTTGTAGACTCCAGCACATGAGGCCATGTTCCACCCCAACTGCAAAGAAACAGCTGTAGCCGCCTGCCTGTAGTCTCACCACTGTTGGTGGAGGTCGGGGAGAATTCAGGGACTCAAAGTCATCACTGATACACAGTGACTCAGAGCCCAGCCTGGGCTACATGAGGACCTAGCTCAGAAAACTGAGGAATGGGGCCGGAGAGATGGCTCAGCGATTAAGAATGCTTGCCACTCTTCCAGAGGACCAGAGTTTGGTTCCTAGCCCCACATGGAGTGGCTCACAGCGGTCCTTAGCTCCAGGGAATCCAACAGCCTTTTCTGGGCTCCAGGGCACTCCAGTCATGTGGCATACATACATACACACACAGAGAGAGAAAGGGACAGAGACACACAGAGTTCTAAAAATAAAACATCCTGGTATTATAGCACAAACTCTAATAGCCTTTAAGAAGCAGAAGCAGCCTCATCTACCTAGCAAGTTCCAGACCAGCTAAGGCTATGTGAAATGAATGGGAGAGGGAGACCAGAGAAGCCTCTTCAGAAAGTAGCCTTCAAAGCACTTCCTCCAGTTTGTGGGGACTGATGAAAAGTCCCACAGCAAAGAATTTGCTTCAACATGGAGTATGTGACCAAGAGCATAAAAGAAGCCAGGTATCGTAAGTTGAGAGCTGTGAAGTCCCACAGCACAGACACCTTCCCCAGAGGGAGAGAGGTGAAGGGAGGCTTGATCCCTTCAGGTGTTGGTATCTGGCCCTTTACAGAGTGACCCCAGTCATAAAGCGGCCTGTCACCTAACAGTTGTCTCTTCTTAAGTAATCTGTAGCCTGGCGTTATAGTGTATGCAAGTGATTCCGAAGTTCTCTGCCAGCTGAGGTACGAGGGTCAGGAGTTCAAGGCCAGTTCTGACTCCTTTGTAAGTTCGAAGCCAGTCTGGGCTACATAAGGCTATGTCTTCAAAAGACAGAGCAATAGGGCTGGAGAAATCTCAGAAGTCCCAAGCTCTTGCTGCTCTTGTAGAGTTCAGGTCCCAGCATCCACATGGGGCAGCTCACAAGAGCCTGTAAATCCATTTCTGGGAATCGGACGGCCAGAATCTGGCCTCCTGGGGTACCTGCAGTCAAGGGGTGCACATACAGACCAGCAGATACCCACATACACAGCCAAATTTAAAGAAGAAATCAGAGGTGGGGGTGGCGGCACACACCTTTAATCCCGGCTTTAACTCGGGAGGCAAAGGCTGGGGGATCTCTGAGTTCCAGGTCAGCCAGGGCTGCACAGAGAGACCTTGCCTCGGATAACCTTAAATAAGAAATTTTAAAAATGTAAATGCATACACTGTATATTTTTAAAAGAAGGAGCGAAGGTCACGTGGTGAATCAGTCAATTCTCCAGGCACTTTATCAGCTTGGACTGTCTGCCATTGCCTGCTCCCCACAGCTTCTCCTCAGCCTGTCTTCTGTGTGTTAACATTTCCTAAATTTGGAGAAAATGAAGGGAAAAAGCAAGTTCGAGACGATCAGAATTTGGGCCCGTGGCCTGTTTCCAAGCTCTTGAGCTGTGCTCTCTCATTAAGGACATGTCCTTCCAAAAGAAAGGCATTCTGTTTCCAGCCCACGCAGACCTAAACTTTTTCTTATCACGTGCCTGGCCAGAGCCAGTCGGCAGGCAGCCGTGTAATGCGATCACCGGGGCCAGCCTCCTGACCCACCCAAGCCAAGCCGGGTGACTACAAGGTTAGCCTACAGAGCGACAGCTACGCAGCAGCCACAAAAACCTGAAACAGTGGACCTGTCGCTCGCTCGGAGACCGGGACGTTTTGGAAACAGCCTTCTGCGGAGGTGAGCAGGGAACTGTAGGGAGGGGCTAGGATACATCCAAGTGGACCCCTGCCATCAGTCTGTCCTCTCCCCTTAAACCCAGGTAGAAGGGTGGGTGGACCCGTCCCTCCTACCGGTACCTCAAGGAGTCAGCACCACCTGCCGGCCTCTGCACCTTCTGTCTCCTCCATAACGTTGCTTTTCTCAAAACTGACATGGTTCTAACGTACTGGGTGTACTTCTAAAGCCGGTGGGGGGACAGTTCCCAAAAGGGAAGTGAAACTGGATGAGACTCCTGGGAGGGCGACCCTCCTCCCAAAAGGACTGGACAAGCTGCCACACTCCGAAGCCTCTGGAAGGATGTGTGGGCTGTTAGCTGGGCAGCCGGGTCAAAGCGCCTTCAGTACAGCGCCTTCTGGTTGGACAGCCAGTATGTCCTAGAAGGACTCCACCAAAGCTAACTGCGTAGAAAGTTGCAGTGGTGATGTGGTTTGCAGGGAGGCCCTGGAGCCCTGTGGCACCTAAGCCGAGCAACACAGGATACTGCTGTCAGTTTTGCTGGTAATTCCAAACAGATGTTTCTGGCTGAGGCAGAGAGAACAAGTCAATTTGATAAAGATAAATGCAAGGAGGGTCAGCTTCTGTCTTTACGAAGCAAGTCATTAGCAGGAAGGAAAGACAGGGAAGTGCTCAGCCACAAGCTCTGGGCACGTTCTGGGAAGAGCAAAAAAACCCTTTCCTGAGTTTGGGCTCTGAGTTTATTTATTCAGCAAGTGCTTCCTGAGTGTGGGCTGCAGGCCAAGTCTGTGTTTGGTGCTTTGATACCACTGTAAACACAGCAGGTGTGCTCCGACCTTTTTTTTTTTTTTTTAATTGCACAAGGACCGGAACCCAGGGCCTTACAGGTGCTAGACCTGTGCTCTGCCATCAAGCTGCACCCGTTCTCCTCCCCTCCCTAACCGGCCCCCTCCGGTTTAATCTGATTCTGGAACAAGGTTTGGCCAAGTTGTCCAGGATGACTGTGAACTTGTGATCTTCCTGCTTCAGCATCCAAAGTAGCAGGGATTGCAAATGCTCACAACCACACCCAGCTGCCAGAAACCCTTAAAGGACAGCAGCACCACAGGGGAGGGACACTGCCTAAGGGGGAGTCTCACCTTCTGGGGGAGTTCTTCATCTCCTAGGTTCAGTCTCAGGCACCTTTCCCTTGTGAGCCTTCTGCAGAAGTGCTCATCTGGGCTGCCGCCCTCTGAGGCTGGTGACCGGGCCAGGAGGTTGTCTTGATTGGCTGGCACTTCCCTAGGATGCAAACAGCCTGTGTAGAGGCCAGGGGTGAGCACCTCATTTGTGAAACAGAACTCCTAAAGAGCATGGAGCTTAAAACACAAATGTTAAAAGGCTTGGCTTCTGCCGGAGGCCTTTGTAGGGTTTGGAGTGAGTCACTTAAAAAAAAAAAAAAAACAACTATTTCCGTAATTAGTGTGTGTTTGTAAAGGTGTGGATATGCCTGCCTGTGTGTGTGCAACCTACTGGGCTGATGCCGGGACCCTGCCCGCAGCCTTATTATTTTATTAAGATGGGAAGTCAGGCACATAAATATCTGTGTTTCTGCCTGGCACAGGAAAGGGGTTATTGGCCATGCCTGGGTTTTCATGTGACTTCTAGGAATTTGAACTCATGTCCTCCTGCTTAAGAAACAAGTACTCTTAGGTGCTGCACCATCTTCCCAGCCCTGAAGCACGTCACCTCTGCTACCTGGAGCTGTCTCTGGAGCTACAAAACAGAGGCAGGACCAGATGTCCCTGAGGTCTAGGTCTGGTTTGGGATTTGAGGATTTTGTTTTGTTTTGTTTGTTTTGTTTTCTGAGACAGGGTTCTGTGTAGCCCATGCTGGCCTCAGACTCATTAGGTAAGTCTAGCTTTGAGTTCCCGACTCTTGCCACCTCCACCAGTCACGGGTTGGGATGTTAGCCCTAACCTACCACACCCAGCTTGTTTTTGTTTTGTAAGACAAGATGGCAATCCTACTGAATAGACTCTTCCGGTTCTTCTGCGTCAGCCTCCTCCATGCTGGGGCTGGCAGCAGAAAGCAATACCAGCAATTTTGTAAAGACTGTTTTGTTTTTTTTGGCCTGTGAGTTATCAGGCCAGGTGTCCTGGGACACACCTGTGATCCCGGCTCAGGATGCAGGTATGAGATCAGCCTGGGCTGCACAGAAAGACTCCAACTCGAAGATGAAACAAGCTGGAGGTGGTACTGCTCTCCTGTGGCCCCAGCACTCATAGTGGAGGCGGAGGAGTCGGTTCAAGGCCTGGGCTGTCCACATAAGCATGTCAGGGGCTGGAGTGAGAGCTCAGTGGCTAAAAGCACTTGCTGCTCTTGGAGAGGATCTGAGCTTTATAGCACCCACATTGGGCAGCTCACAACTGCTTTTAACTTTAAGGCCTCCACAGGCATTGTACTCACATATGAAAACCACAGGCACAAACACATGCATAAATCATAATAAAAATAAAGTCAGGCATGGTGGGGTATGCTTTTAATCCCAGTACTTGAGAGGCAGGGGCAGGCAGATCTCTGAGTTAGAGGCTCAGCCTGTTCTACAGAGCAAGTTTCAGGACAGCCAAAGCTACACAGAGAAACCTGGTCTTAAAACCAACCAGTGCTGTGTTGTCATTTCCCCTGCTCAAAGCAATTTGTTTCTTAACTATACCTGTCTGCTATACATGTAGCAGTCAGAGACACTTGGTCTCATACATGATAGAAGTAACATGTATACCTGAATAGAGGTTCTTGAATAAAGGGTTGAAAAAACAAACAAAAACTTTTTAAAAATCATTAAGATAAGTTTACAAGATATTTACAATGAAGTTAAACTTCAAACTGGCTAAGGTAGTAAAGGCACTTGTAGCCAAGCCTGAAAGCCTGAGTTTCATCCCCAGAGCCCACAGTAGAAGGAAAAAACTGACCCCCGAGAGGTTGCTTTCTGATCTCCACCTGTGTGCTATGGCCTGCATGTGCACACACAAACACACAAATGCACTAATTAAACTGTAATCAAACAAGCCAGGTGTGGTGGCTGGCCTGTAATCCCAGCACTCAGGGAGGCAGAAGCAGGTGGACCTCTGTGAGTTCAAGGCCAGCCTGGTCTACAAAGTGACTCCAGAACAGCCAAGAAACCCTGTCTTGAAAAAAGAAAATAAAAAGTTAAAATGTAATAAAACATTTTGATAGAAATGATACCCCACCCGCTCACATAAGGGGATACACACGTAGAAACGATGCCACAGAGAAACTGCCAAACTCGACCACTCCATGGGCAGAAAGAAAGGTTTTGGGGGCCTCAAGATGGGGGGGGGAGGGCCACAGAGAAGAGCAAAGTGGTCATAAGGCAAGCAGATTTTATGTTGGAAGTTTGGGGATCTGAGCTGATACAGGCTGCCCAGAGCTCCCTTTGGATGATTAAGGGTGGCTCCTAGCAAACAGGGACCCTTTCTAGTAAACAAACCCTTCCTTTAAGCTTGTTTACCCAATGACTGTCCTAAGGATCCAACTAGGATCCTTCTGTTTAGGTTGGTATCATCAGCAGTGACTTGGGTCGGGGTGGGGATAGGGATGTGGACCCGACGGCCTATAAAACAGACACCCAGGAACCTTGACTCTGAAAGAAAAATCTAGAAAAACTGACCCACAAATAAAACTCAACATGACGCCGTCTCTGCTCTGCCCATCCCCACCTTACCCTTTACCCGACATTTAGATTTGTTTTTGATTTTGAGACAGGGTTTCTCTGTGTAGCCTTGGCTGTCCCAGAACTCACCCTGTAGACCAGGCTGGCCTTGAACTCAGAGATATGCCTGCCTCTGCTGAGATGAAAGGAGTGTTCCACCACAGCCCAGCTAATATTTGGATTCTTAAGGTGTAATTTAAATTGGGTTTGTTTGGGTTTCTTTTGTTTGTTTCAATAAGCCAGCACAGCTCCTCCCACCTGCTTTCCACAGGCCACTGCTGAAAAGTATTAAATCTGGAAAAAGCACAGTACAAGCCAGGTTCTCCTTAAGGGAGAATCAATTTATCATAATACCAGAAACTTCCTTTTTTTAGTGCATATTGTTTTTAAAAGACTTATTTACCATATGTAAGTTCTCTATCTGCATGTACACCTGCATGACAGAAAAGGCCACCAGATCACATTATAGGTGGTTGTGTGCCACCATGTGGTTGCCGGGAATTGAACTCAGACGTCTGGAAGAACAGACAGTGCGCTTAACCTCTGAGCCATCACTCCAGACCTTCGTGTGTATTGTGTCTCATTTCCTCTTTGCAGACTGTGTCCCTGATCTGAAATGCAACTCACTCTTCTGAACATAGCGTCATCTGGAAAAGCTACATAATATTATTGCGTGAGACAGGAACAAGGAATGCCTTTCTTTTCTTTAAATCTGAAGTGGCTTGTATGTCCCAGACTGCCTCAGATCTGATATGTGGCTGATGCTGACCTTGAAGGACAACCTTGGGTATCTTTCTTACCTTCTACCTCAATCTGACACAAGGTCTTTCTTGTCACTCGCCACTGTCTGTGTAGTCCAGGCTATGCTGGTTTATGAGCTTCCGGCGAGCAGGCTGATCTCCTGGTACCTTTCAGTGCGAGATGCTCACTCTCACCATCCTGACGTTCTGTACTTTGTCAGATAGTATGATGGGCACCAAATTCAAGCTCTGCCACTACATGTGGCAAATTTAAATCAAACACGGATTTTCCTGGGGCCTCCTACTCAATCCATGATCCATTTGATCTCCATGAAAAGAATTCAGATGATGTGCTGTGGCCTACAGAAGACAGAGTTCCTATCAGTAAACAAGACACTCTCGAGCAGAAAGGGTAGCCTTGAACACTCTAAACGGGAAAATGGGCAATGCCAGAGAGATCACTGTGCTGATAGACATCTTTTTGTTTGCGTATTTGTTTTTTGAGACAGGGTTTCTCTGTGTAGCCTTGGCTGTCTTGGACTCCAGACTGA